CAAGGAAAATTCCTCTATGACTCAAGGAACCGAAATGAAGGATCCTATTACCAAAGTTATAGACCCAAATGGGGGAACTTCAGAAAGAGAGATTTTTATAAAACCTCACCAACCAATGGTTTAAGTGTAAATAACTCAACTTATTTTTCAGATACACAGGGGCATAAAATAATTGCAGTTCAGTACTTGGTTGCTGCGATAATGGATATCACTCCCTTTGTTCAAAAACCCAACTCGTGTCCTTGCCCAATTATTATGCGTAATCCCGATAAGCGCGTTCAGATGGGAGTTTCCCCATTGGCGGAAAACCGAGAAGAGAAGAAAGGCACCCAGTCGAATTGGGAAACACTGTCTGGCTCCCGCCTCCCCCAACTTTCTATCTAAGTTCTTTGGGTTCAACGAATTGTTTGTTGTCCGAACTCCGTCCGATGTTAATGACTCCGGGGTGACGCCGTAGCCTTTGCACAACCCCAGCCGAACAGTACAGTGTGCACTCGGATCCATATACTATATAGACGCCTTATAGCACCCAACATTGAACTTGTTGGGGCTGTTGTCTGTTGTCTGCCCCGATTCCATTTGCCAACCCATCTGGCCGGGTGAGTTTTGGCTTTCTGCGTTCTGTTTCGTGTGTTTTGTGTGTTTTGGGTGCTGGGTTTGTGCTTTGGCCATTGAACCTGGTTCCCCGCTCACTAGAGACACCTTCCCGATGTCGTTGTTTTTGTTTTCTCCACCCACGGTTTGCTCTGCAAACTCTGGTGCACAGAGAACATTTTGCATATTGATAATAAACCGCACAAAACTCCCAAGCAGCACCCTTTGTTTAGATATACTGACTGGTTTCAATTCGAACTCGGTTTGATGGACACACAATTTTCTCCACCTGTAGAGCACATTTAATTTATACCCCAACCCGATATTCATTTCGGGCTAATTGCTTTCGAAACGCCACAAGTTCTTTATAAATATCGTTATGATTATAAATAAGTCGAATTCCCGACTCTTGACAAATGCGCAATTTCGAAACGAATCGCAAAGTGGTTTTGGCCTTTTTGCAACACCTCTTCTTGAGTTACCTTATGGCAAGTATGGCAAGTGGCTAACCCTGTGTTGGCAATATCTTAGGGATGTCGGCACTTACTCGGAGATACTCGTATAGTAACATCTAGTTGCGCCGACGACACTTGCATTTACGGCTGGTCGTTATAAGGAGGTTTTACTCACCTGAAAATAAACAAAAACATGCACAATAAACAAAGGTTGTCAAAATGAACTGAGATCTTTAAGGTTTTGCATCTTCCAGTTTGGTCTGTAAATAAGTTTTACGCAATATTTTATTTCTGACAATTGCTGGAAGTTCAATTCAGGTGTTTGGAAAATGTTGTATTTTATTTATTTCCATTATAACAAGTCGCAAACGTTCAGTTTTGCTCAGTTTGTAAGAAATTGTATTGCTTTCATGTTGTTTTTTAAATCAATGGCCCTACAATTATTTAACTAAATCATGCGATATCAGGCGAAAGTTCAATTACGTTTTTCCGTTTGCCGGCTGCCAAAGGAAACTTTGAACTTTTGAAAAAAGCGAATAAAGCTCTTATCGGTGTAACGAACCGATGTTGTTGCTTCGGCAATTGTTTTTGTAGATTTGTCGTTGTTTTTTTTATTATACTACAAACACATAGCCAAGCGTGTGTGGTTAATCGGCCACCGAAAAGGAGGGAGTGCGACTCACCAAAAGAGCGAAATTATTTGCTATCTACAGCGAAAGTGAGAGCGACTTCCATTACGAGCAAATTCAAGGACGTCGGAGGGCCAGAGAAAGTGGGGTGTGCGGTGCGCAGTGGGTGGTGGGAGGTGGATGATTCTTGAACCTCTTGTTGGCTGCAGATAAAAAAGCAACAAACACTGGCGCGCGTGTCGCTGTGGAATCAGGTGTTGGTGGGTGATTGAACCCCCGATATCTTCGCACGAGCCACACCCACACCACCCGCACCACCTGCACCACCACCCACTGGCTGCAACGGAAAACGTTGGGGTAGGCGCTTAGCCACTGGACAAGTGCGCCGAGTCTTGTCATTGGCATTTGATAGATATTGCGGAAAAAGAGGCTTCCAAATGAAGTAAACATCAGAGATCATTAGTATCGAAGAAGACCCTTCAACCAATACGAGTATATATTATTCGAAATAAGAAATTAATGTAAAGTAAGCTGCACCCCAACATTCAATAGTTGTGAATTATTATCAATACGCAGTGGGGCTGGCAATCGCGGCTCATGGTCTCGGGCCATGAAAATAATTATTGAGAACAACAGAGGATTGTTTTCATTTAGCTCGAGCACTTCCTGCCTGTGCCTCTCCGTCTTCCCTGCACTCACCGTCTCTTTTCCGGCGTCTTTGTTCATCTGCCACAGGAAGTAATCCCCAGACATACACTATATATACGCTCTCGTGTAGATTACGTTTGTAAACACGTTTGTGCGACTGGGCTGCCGAGGGGACGGGGGGCATGGGCCCCTCATCTTGAATGCCACCTGCCCACAGATCCCGAAACCCATAAAGAGACCCAAAAAATACGCAAAACAAAAGCCACAAACAACATTGAGATGAAGTGCAACCTGCAGCGGCTTAATAATGCGGAAATCGAGCAACTCTGACAGTTTTCGTCCGGAAGTTTACTTTTCTTATTGAATTTATATTTAATTGCCTTGTCGATTGTCAATCGTTAAGATAAGCCGATACAATTATAAGGTAAAAAAAAACCAAAAGTTCGGTAGTAGTTAAAATGTTGTCATACTGGGCGTATACATAATGTGTAATGCGTATACGTAATGTGTAATTTACAAGAGCTCGGAAAAAAACTGCAAAAAAGTGAGATGTTTGAATTAAATCTTAAAATAATGTTCAGTATTCGACTGGTTAAACTAGATACTAGAGCAAAATTTACTTAGTTTGAGAAGTAAGTGCTCATCTGAACCCTCATTTCTTTGTAACGCAACTTCAGATTTATTTTCATTTATCTGTCGTGGTGTTTTTGCTGTAAACTAAGTAAACCTTGTGTTTATCGGTTAATTGGCAGTGAACTCCCCATATCCCCATATGCATATGCGCACATGCAGATGTTTGATTGTCCGTGCGGCTGCTTGTGCATCGGGTGCGAATTGCGATTTACATTTCCGAGTTCTGAAGGCCAGGCGAGTGAGAAGCTTTCGCAGATATCAATTAAGCTTTTGGCAATTGAATTCTACTGCGTCTTAGGTGCATTGAACCTATTGTTTATTTAATTTCGGGAGCTTTCGATATGGGGCGCTAAGTAGAAACTGCTGATGTTTTGGCAAATGCCAATGCCATTGCCAAGAGCCGAAAGCCGAAAGCCGCAAGCCGAAATAAAAAAGTAACGAACACATTTCTCCTGCCCCCCGTGCACCGTGCACCATTTCGGGCATTAAATTCAACCTCGAAAACAAACTTTTCTCCCGCCGGCGAAGTTCATTGCCGTACCTTGACCTCGCGAGTGCGTTGCCTCTCCCTCGCTCCTTTGTGATTGTTGTTGGCTTTGTTGCCGCTGCTGCTGCTGCTGCTGCTGCTGCCGGCGTGTTTATTGTGATGCATGCGATCGTCATCGTGAAGAAGGCGACAACAACCACGGCAACAACAACAACCAACAACGATTGTGTTCGCGGCGTTTTGTTTTCCTCCGCCGCAAGATTGATTCGAGTAGCAACATCCTTGGCCGGTCAAGTTTTGCACTTTACTTTTTGCCCTGAGAGCCCTGTACAGTGCAGCCACTTCTTGTGGCCCAAAGGCACGTGTTTCAAGGACCTATGTAATGCCAAATAGTTAAACTGAGAATACTAGTGTTTATCGTTATGACGTAAAGAAAAGTTTTCAAATTGACGAGGCATTACCTATGCAAAGTGATTCGTAGAATACATTCCTTAGCCTCGGGAAGTGAAATTCCTCAGACTTGCTGATAAGGCCAAACAAAAACCTACCTAATTTGCATGCCCGTGATAAGAAAATAGTTTTCAAAATGGTAAACAGAACTCTATATGTCACAGTTCATGTTCCGGCAATATAATAATGCAAAGGCCTTCGCACAAAAAATTTCATTACTATTTATTTGGGCATTTTTCAAAATAATTTTTGGTCATTAAAAATTGTCATGACATCGTTGAAAAGATATATAAACATTTTTCATCCGCGGTCACTTATAATTCTCAACTGGTTATCGTTCCGAAAGTTCCCTTCTGAAACTTTTGTGGGTTTTTGGTGTGTGTGTGTGTAGTTGTGTGTGCTTGTAAAGTGGCTGAAGGTGATGCCTTCTACTGGACTCCAGTCCCGGATGGAGTGCATCAACCAGCTGACGTGGTATGTATTAAGTAATTCAATTATTTTTTAAATGTTAATTAATTTACTTATTTGTTATTTCTAACTGCAGGTGATAGGTGATGCATGGGCGCACCTCCTTTCCGGGAGTGGACTTCGGGATGCAGTGCATCAACCTCCCAACTTGGTAGGTATTCACTATTAAAATGAGCTAATGTTACTAATCAACCGCATTATTACTTTTAATTGCAGCCAATATGCCAACGCCTTTCAGCCAGGAACGCAACGTACTTCCGGACGAATTCATCAGAACTTAACGGGGTATGTATTAATATACATAATTTATTTATTTTATAAGGTTTATAACTCTCCCTTAATTTCGGTAAAGAAATCTTTTAAGATAGCCTACCAGTAGTAAGTAGTGGCATCGGTAGATAAGAATTCACCTTACGATTTGCTCAAGTAATTGTTTTGCGAAAGAAGCCTGCCTGGCCCACTGTGCGTATGGGTAACCAACAGCTGATTGCTGCAAGTGTGCACAGCTGTTTTGGATGCACACCCGAAACGCCCGAAACGTGTGGCTGCGATTAAACCGAATCACAACAACAAAGCGAACGCTAAGTAAACAGGCAAAGCAGCGCAAAGCAAAGAAGGAAAGAATCACAAACTCACATGTTGCTGCTGCTGCTGTTGCTGTTGCTGTTGCTGTTATTGTTGTTGCTGCTGGTGCTGCTGTTGCTGCTGTTGCTACATTGTAGACATCGCTGTTAGTGGCCGTGGATCGGAATCTCACCCAAGAAGGTCGTGAATTGGAATTGTAATACATCTTGCCCTGCTGCCTGTGCTGTTGCAGTTGCCGACTGTAGCCGCTGTTGTTGCTGCTGTTGCTGTTGTTGCTGTTGTTTCTGCTGCAGCAGATAATGTTGCTCCTGTGATGCTTGCGCTGCTCGTGCTGCTCGTAATCCGTCTTTCGCTTGGTTGCTGCACCAGAGGGCGCCAGCGTGAGTTCCTTTGCAGCGGTCGCCGCCAGCAACATGCTGCTGCTGCTGCTGCTGTCTCCGTGTTGCACCTTCGTCGCCGGCTGTTGCAGCTGCTCCTTGCTTTTAGGCTGGCGGTCGCCGAATTGATTGCTGTTTCGGGGCTTCTGTCACTCGAAGTTCTACTTGCGTCACAATGTCCACAGGTTTCATCAGCGATACTCGCATAGCTCGAAGTTGTTTTCGCCCAAAAGGTTCCCTGTTTAGTGCCTGTTACACTCACAGAAAAAACAAACAAACAAAAGCACACGGACACGCGGAAAACACAAAGAGTCGTTTGTATATTTCCCGTTTGACGTCACTTCGTTGATGATGAGCAAAAAAAAAAAGAAACCGATCTACGCAGCGTCCGAAAGTGAGTCTCAGGGCCAAGAAAATTGCACCGGAAAATAGGTTTTCAATTCGGGAACCCGCGAGTTCCTTACTCTTCTGCCCACTTAATTTGGCTTCACAGAAGGTTCACTACTATTTTTAAGAAGAATACACGAATATTAAGCGCACCGCCCAACTGGTTGGACCAACAACAACAAAGTGCCCGCGAATGATTGAAGCTCAAAAATGGACTGCCAGCAATTGTTACCGCCGCTGTTGGCTCTGCCGACGCCGCAGTCGCCAGCGAAGCAGCGCGCTCTCCCGATTTCCGAGCGGAATGAACCCGCCGCCGTCGCTTTATGCAAGTGCCATATAGTCTATGGTCTTTGTGCATAATTCCAAGAATATATCAGCGCCGTGGAGTCGAGTGCGCAGGGAGAGCCGCGAGCATATCGCCATATGGCTCATTAGCCGACTAGCGGATACCTGTTGAGGGACCCGCCACCCTGTTGTAAAAGTGTCTAATCCCGAAAGGTTCCGAATAAACAGAAAAGAACCGAAAACTATAATGCGTTTAGGTTGCAGATCGGCGGGCTCTGCGGTTCCCGTGAAAGTGAAACCGAAACCGAAACCGAGCATACCCTGCGCTGCACTTTTCGGGCAGAAACAGCACGCTCTGCCAGATACCTAGTACCTGCTATCATATCAGCGCCTTTGCTGCCGCTGCCGCTGCCGCTGCCGCAGTCGACGTCGACGTCGCAGAACAAAGAAACGGCGGCAGAGCTGACGCATGCCGTGTATCTCGCATTTGGCATTTCGCATTTCGTACTTCGCATTTCGCATCTCTCAGTGAGGTTGGCTCGTGGCCCCAAATTGCGCCTAACCCAATTCGAGTGTCATCATCTGGTCATGGAGCCCAGAGGCATTCTGTCTGGCTTCGGCCCCGACCATTCCTGCCCTGCTCCTCGCTCCTCGCCTTCGCCCCTTCGGCTTTCGGGAGACGCTCGGCCGAGGAGCTTTCACTCATCGGAGCAGTCAGCTCAGTCAGCTGTTCGCCGCACAGTGGTTGTGGTTGAGCAATAGAGTGAGTACTTAAGCAGGATGCTGAATTACAACACGACAAGTAGGGGATTCAACAATAAACGATGGCAGCTCAAAGCGTTCTCATGTATCTTATACTTGTATGTAGTATGTATCTTTAAATACTCGTATTTAAAACTTAAGAAACATACCCAGTTTTTTGGATTCCTGGGAGACTCCAATAGACTTGCTGTCGATTGATATTTGAACGCCTGGCAAGTCCACCGCACAGTGGTTTTGGTACAGTCTCTCACCAAATCGTATATTTATGGAGCTCAAAGCGCCTCTTTATTGTTCATAAGCAACTGACACTGAACTAAAAGCGGACTACAGCTTTCGTTTGCATATTCCGGAATTTCGAATAATTTAGCACTCGGTTTCGCGGCTTAAGAGAAACAGCTCCGTTCGGTTTAAGAAGTCAACTGATCCTGCTCGCCCGCATATTCGCGCATTTATAAGGAGTCAGGTCAGAAGGAGATTAAAAACCCATTGTGACCGATAAGGGGTCCGCCAGCAGTTATCAGGTAGTTAGGAGCGACCCGTCGTCGACCTGATCTAAGGACTCTCTTCAAGGAGCAGAAGAGCCGGCGGTTCCTCCGACAAGATGACGCGTGTCCGCGGGATTTCTCCCGGGTTTTACCTGCATACTTAATTTTATTATTTGGCCTGTCGTTTTATTGGCCCCGTTCGAACCAGCTTCGCTTTCAGGCCGGGAGTGGTTAAGCCTGGCTCTATCCGCGATTCGCATCTGTGGACATCTGCATCTGTTGAGGCTGACCTGTTCGTAGGTAGGAGCCAGCTCTTCGGCTGAATCCTTCCCAAGGTAGGAGGATTCATAAGGTTTCATTAGATGCCAGGAAACCTGGCTAGTTTCTGGCGAGTGGATCATCACTATCCGGCGGGCGCAGAACCCGGCTAGAGCTTTGCGTCTTTGCCGTGATTGCGAACTCGGCTACCGATTCAGATAAGGGCGGCCCTCCGCTTTCCGTTTTGTTTTGAGCGGGAGATTCTAAACAACACGGCGGATGAGCGATATTGCGGGTGGCTGGGGAGCACGTACTTTGTACTCTGGCATCTGGGCAGCTGCAGTTGGCGAGCAGCGGCCACTGGCAACTGCGTCTCGGCTCTTCCAGAAGAGCACACCCCTTTCATAACTTAAATATTGGTCTGAATTGAGACATCTATTTAAATATTGGCCTAAATTGGGACATCTATTTCACATTTCAGGTCGCTTGGCGGAAGGCCAAAGCCGTTTATTTACTCCCATGCCAGACACCTGAGTCACTCGCGTCGGAAGTGGAGCACTCGCAGAAATGTAAATAAATGCGAAATAATGGGGACCGAATGTTATGGGAGTCACAGAGATGCAAACAAATTATCTGGGCGGCGGGAAAAGAGCACGAATCGGTGTCACTGTGCCATGTTTGAGTTCGAGGCGGCAACAAAGGGTGTTTTTGCATTTTATCCCCAGGGCCGTAAGTCCTCCCCACCCACTCACCCACTTAACCACTTAACCACTCAACCACCGGCGCTTGGGGACGAATAACCCAGATCCCAGAACCAGAACTCGGAGGAAACCTTTCTCGCGATCCGCTCGGAAAGGCGTTCGGCTTTCAACTAAGCGGCGATGTGGGCTCCATTTCGAGGAGAGAATGCGCTGAAGAGTCTAAGTTGGCATAATAAGCATAATAAGCACTATAAGCAACAAGCAACAAAGAAACGCAAAGCGGAAAGCGGACCTTCAGCCGAGATCGAATCTACACGCAGTGCTGATTTGCGTGCCACTTTCTGATTTGATTTAAATAACACTATGTGGGGTTGGGATATTTTTCCATGTCTCAAATCGGTTGGAAAAGGATACCGAAGGCATTTTCATTTACACCGACATAGTAGCGCTTCAAATTAGCAAATTTGCGACCCTAGGATTCAACCAGCTTATTGAGCGGGAAAACTAGGGGGAAATAAATGGAATACGGAATGGATCCTCCAGGTGATTTGGCCACGCAGCCAAGCATTGCAAAAGGTCAAAGGCCGCTAGTTCGGAGGCTACCCCTATCGATAGGAAAAATCGCCTAGTGTTGGTCACCCAAAACTGAAGTCGCACCAGAAAACTTTGACAGACGTCAAAAAAGATGACGTTCGGATTGACTCCTCTGCGAAAAAGGACAAGTCATTCATTCCGACTGCGAACATCAGTTAGTGAAAGCTGAAAGCCGAAAGCCAAATCCAAAGCCAAAAACCATTTAATTTTCCCTCAAGCAAAGGAATCCATCAAGTTTTCCCTCAAGCAAAGGAAACCATCAAAATTTCCCTCAAGCAAAGGAGATCAGTTTGAATTCGAGTCGAGAGAACATGAACCGCAAGCGGGAGGTCAAGATCCACACGAGTGTTTGGGTGAGTCTCTGAAGACTGGCTTTTTCCCCCCTTTACCCCCTAAATGCTAAACGCTTCCCTCGTGGACAAGGTGAACAAGCGCTACTCCGCCGTGCTGCAGGGTCCGGCTGCGCTGGCTGCTCCGGCTGCCCCTCCGCCGATGCACCGCCTTCCGGCGCACATGCGCCGTGCTCCGCCAACTGCGATGGCTGCCGCCCAAAAGGGGCCGAGGGGTGCGGCCCTGCCCCGCCCCCGGAACCTCGCCCCTCCGTTGGCCCCGCCCTTCGGCTCCTCTGGCATCGGGATTTCGGGGCCGCGCTTCGCATCGCGGGTCCACTTTGGAGCCCCAGGCTCGGGCCCCCTGCACTTCGGTGCTCCGAGAGGCGGAGTCCCGCTCTTCGGGCAGCACTGCCCGACGCCCTTGGAGGAGCTGAGCCGCCTCTTCTCCCAGATGCCCTCGCTCGGCGTGGACGAGCCCTTCTTCGCCAGCAACCTCAAGTACTACCCCCACCTGCCGCAGCCGGACTTCGTGGGCCCATACCAGACCTACGCCCAGGTCAAGGCGGCCATGGCGCGCTGCATGGGTGGTGGGGATCCCGCTCACCCCCTCCCCCTTCCCCTTCCCCTTGCGGTGAGGGCATGCAGCCAGTCGAAGGAGTCGCTGGAGGAGGAAGAGCTAAAGGAGCCACAGGAGCCACTGGAGACGGACGTCGCCTTCTGTCGCCGCTTTTGGATGACGGGCCAGAGCGGCTTGCTCTCGCTGTCCAACCTGCTCTTCTCGGCCAGCGGCCACCTGCTTCAGCAGTCGTCCCCGGAGCTGCAGCGCCAGATGGAGCTGCAGCTGCGGCAGCGGGACCCGCTGCTGACCCGCTTCCTGTCGCTCCAGGACGACCTGCTCCAGGGAAGGCGCCTCCCCGCCGAGCAGCGCCGCTGGTCCCCCATGCCCATGATCGCGGAGGAGGCCTCGGGAGGTCTCTCCCAGGAGGAGCAGGAGTTCCCGTGAACCAGGAAGAGCCCGAAGAAGTTCTAATCAAGGAGTATCAAGGAGAATGTGATCGAAGTTACCTAAAATAAACACAGCTACGCTGCAACACAAAGAGGTGCTCTTTTGCAGAGGGGCCTTTGGGAGGGCCTTTGCCTACATGAAATACACGAATATACAGACATACATGGAATGTACATGGAATGGAGTGTGACCTGCCTTGGCCCAACAACAAGTGTTGGCTGCGTCGGTCACACTATCTAGTTATTATGTGTTTGAAACAGAGCGTATTTGCATTAAACACGTAATCGTTTGATATGTTTTCAATATAAATCCGAAATTAAAATTTGTATGAGGGATCGGGATGCATAGGTTCGTTCGGTATCAGAAAACTTGGGTTTGCTGAAAAGTGACCAAAATTCAGTAAATCTAAGCCCATAAGTTTTCTAATTGTGACCAGATTTCGAAGTGGCATACCCCTAAAAGTTAAGATTTTAATTCCCCATTAAACTGCATACTTAGAGCTTTTTTTAACTTCCCGACTGGCCTACAAGTCGGTGGGCCGCCTGAAGTGGGCTTGTATGGGCGCTCTTGGAATCCAGTTGCAAACTTGCCAATCGACAATTATGGCCCGCATTTGGTTCAAGTTTAATGCAATCTTTTGCGCAGCAGCGAATTCGCGGATGGCCTATCTCACCGGCATTTCTATCGCAATCTCTGACTTTGGCGGCGTGCCGCCATCGCGCCCTCTCTTTCTCACCGCGTCCCCCGTTCCCCGTCCCGCTCTGGCTTCCCAGAAGCAACAAACAAAACACGACAAGCAGATACGACATGAAAAGCTAAGTAAACATTTGTTGCTACTCGAGTTTTGACACAATTCGAGGACTGCAGCCCAAGGCGATCTCGAAATTCCCTATAAAGCACTCTCACAAAGGCTCCTCCAGTGCCCCAATGCCCTTAATATGATGCAACGAGCTACTTTGCCATTACTTTGTACTTTGGCCACTCGCTTTTCGAGACATATCATATCATATTGTACCGCAGTTCCGAACAGAACTCAACCGCATCTTCATGAAATGCGCAGCACTGTTTGTCTATCGAGGTATGTCGAGCTGCGATCTTCAGATAGGATTGTCTGGGGGAAGCGCTGTTTACTCAGATCGTTCCTATTGTGTCTGCCTTGCTGTACATATATGATATAATGGTATAATGGTATTATGGTGTTGTGGTGGTCAGCGAGTTATGCGGGCAGTGGAAGTGTGTGAAGGTTTTGTATTTGCCTGCTTAGGGCTGAGCAAACAATGCGAACGGATTGCAGTTGAAGCGCCGTAGGTCAACTCGACCCGAGGAGTCTCTTCCAGAAAAGTCTTACTGGGTTATCCCCATAAGATAGATAGATAGATAGATGGATTCCCAACGGAATACGAAGGTGATATGCGGTTTCCAGTCAGTCAGTTGGTCAGTCAGTCAGATGAAGCGATGCCAGCTTTCGTTTTCAGTTTTCAGTTCGTTGATCGCGATAACCCCGCCGATCCGCAATTACGGAGCGCCTCCGAGCTCTCCGTTCCCTCGGAAACAAAACCACAGAATCCACGCGGCAATAGGCAGATACCGCCGGTCCAGCTCCGTTGCACCACTGCCAGGGCAATTGCCAAGTAAACTAGGCGGGTGTCTAATTTTAGACCGCTCACTACTCCGCATACGTCATCCCAGATGCCAGATGCCAGATTAGTTTCGGAACTGGCAACTAATTAGACGGCGGCCAGACGCGATCCCAATTCCCATCCCCATACCATTGTTGTCAAGTTCGATCCGGATTGCGGATTGCGGATTGCGAATTGCGAACCACGGACTCCGGATTGCGGATTGCTGATCCCTGACTCACCGGCGACCTGTGCATGCGGTTTCGGGTTTATCGGGCGATTCGATCGCTCCACTCGCCACTTGGCACTTGACCACGTAGAGGCGCCTCTCCCGCGCCAACCAATATCGGCCAATACAGCTGAATAACCGAAAAGCTGAATGGCCGAAAAGCACGAACGCCCGACCATGATGCAATGGCTATATGCGATATGCTATATGCTATTTGCTATATGCATCGCTATATGCGCGGTAAACAAAGCAAAGACGTTGCTCCCCGGGTTTGTTGTTTTTGAAGACCTGCCACCTAATGATAAACCACATCCTAGGTCAGACTTTTTCCAGTGACTTGCAGTCTGGCTTGTTGTGCACAGACTCTCGGGTACTTCCCTGATTCCCATACCCCTATATACCTATATATTCTGTAGGTATAGGTATATTTCTGAACCCCATTCGCAGGGCTAGCATACTTTTTGGATGGCCGGCGTCTCGGATATTTGCGCATCTGGCGAAGGGAACAGATTGCACCGCACAGATGCGCACACCCGATTGCGCCGAGATTGAACCACGTGCTGGCTGGCATTCCGCGGTCTCCGGCTGGCTGGTTAGTATTCGACGGATGCCCTGCCACAGGTGCGCTGATCAACTGTCTCGGCTTCCCACACCCAGAACCCCAGACCTCTAGACCCCCAGAACGAGATTCGCACGAGGTCGGGTTCCGCCTTCGCTGGAACAGCCACAATCTCTTCTGGGGGACAGGCACTGGTCACTGTTCCTTGGGCTCCCAAAGCCGAGATATGCTCAATCGCACTTGCTATTTGGCCTGGCCACTGTTATAATGGGACAAAGACCGATATACTATGCTCAAAGCAAGAGAGGTGTGCATGTACATAGATGTCACTGCGACTCGGGGTATGCCTATGCTCGCCTTCGCCTAGGTGATACGGATGTGCGAGAGCTCTGAGATTCGAAGCTCTGAGATTGGAGAGCTGAGATCGGAGTGGGATCTAGTCGAGTGCCGAGGCCAGGGGCTGCGTCTTCACGGGGATTCCCTGGAGGTAGTTGAGCCAAGGGTTTCCTAATCGCAGGTTAAAGAGATCCCAACCGTCGGTGCTCAAAATGAGTTAACTAAGCAAAGGGGAACAGAATCCCCCAAAATAGTGCCAAGGTAATACAATCCTTTTGCTGCTCTGAGTGTCTTTCTAATTGCCACCCCCCTCGGAGTCCCATCCATGGAGCACTGATCTATACTATAAACCCGCGACGGAGATACGCTCGAGCGGCGACTGCGACGCGGCAGCACCTGATACCGTCTACCGGCGACGCTGATAAGGGCTCGAAATATATAAGTGCGTCGGCGGGGCCACGGCTTCCCAGTCGCAGTCACAGATCGCTACCTAGAGCCCCATCCGGACCTTCAGGCGCAGCGGAGTACAGAACAGGACAGGATTAACGATTGAGGACTGAGTGCAATGAAGCTGGACGAGAAGCGGTTGGGCCAGGAGCCGCCCAAGTACCTCAACGAGGACTTCTTCAAGGCGGCGCTGGAGGACGGGCTGCGGGACATGCGGGTGGAGATCAAGAAGATCGTGTTCGCGGAGTCGAGCGGAGGGGGCGGGGAGAACTACTGCAGCAAGATCTACCGGGCGAAGGCGCTCTACCGGAGCAGCAAGCGGCAGCTGGACGAGGAATTAGCTCTGATCGTGAAGAGCATCGCCATCACGCCGGCCACACAGTTCCTCGAGGAGCTGGCCGTCTACCTGCGCGAGAAGATCTTCTACTTCGACGTGCTCGGCAAGCTGGAGGTGCTCATCGGGGACGGGTCGAAGTTCGGGGCCAAGTGCCTCTACACCACCCGCGAGCCCATCCAGACCATCGTCTTCGACGACCTCACCCAGTACGGCTACAAGCTGGCCAGCCGGCAGAGCGGCCTCAACGAGGAGCACTGCGTGGTCATCCTGCGCAAGCTGGGCAAGTTCCACGCCGCCTCCATGCTGCTGGCCGAGAAGGTGAGCCAATCGGGGATTCTAGTGGTTAGAGGGGCGGGGAGAGGGAGGAGCAGCAGGCTAGGAGCATCTGATTAGACTGCCAGAGGTCGGCCACTGCCCCCAGTTGTAAATATTAGGCAGATCGTCCGGCAGCTCGCAATCTACTCGCCAGATGATTTCTTTTTTTTTTGGAGGCCCACTTAGAAGTACGTGTTCCAAAGTTCAGACCAGTTCAGATCAATTAAGGCGCACATTCGAACACTACGTTCCCGGGTAATCTGGTGACTTTCGCATTTGAAGAATGATAACTTGGCTTCTTGCCAACCTAGACAAGTCGCAATTCAAGTCGCACTTTGAAAGGCTTTACTATTCGAAACTATCAAAGCCACCAAAACTTAATTGAAACATAGAGAGCTCTCTGCTTTTCATGTGATTTCCATTTAATCGCACAGTTTGTAGTGATCATTACAAAGTGTATACTAAATCGATTCCCGATCCCCGATTCCCGTTCTCCGATCGACGATTCGAAATCGCAACAGGTGCCAAAGTGCACATAAATAAATATTTTCCTATCATGAATGGGATTTTTGCTGACCAAGTGCCTGCGTCAGATGTGGTAACACATTGAGTTCAGATCAGTTGGTGATCCATTGGGAATCGAAGGAAACGTGCTTTAATCCAATATCTTCCGATCCTGCAGGAGCCCAGTGTGCGGGAGCACTTCACCAGCGGGATGCTGGACGAGAACTACATCCGGACGAACGAGCGGTTCATCAGCTTCATGACCCTCCAGTGCCGCACCCTGGCCAACGTGGTGGCCAAGTGGCCCGGCTACGAGCAGCTGGCCGAGAAGCTGCACCGCCACTGCGACAACCTCAAGGAGAACCTGGTGACGACCGGGCGGCCGTTGCCCGGGGAGATCACCGTGCTGAACCACGGCGACCTCTGGGTTAACAACTTCATGTACAAGTACGACGAGGAGCAGCCCACCAAGCCGATCGACGCGATCTTCGTGAGTGTTCCCTTTCCTCCTTCCCTCCATTCCAGGGATTACTTCTGGGGAGGATGAATGGTTCCTAACTCATCCGAATTCTCTACTGCAGGTGGACTTCCAGAACAGCTTCTTCGGCAGCCCGGGCTGCGACATCAACTTCTTCCTGAACAGCAGCGTCCAGCTGGACGTGCTGGTCCACCGGCGCGAGTTCCTCGTCCAGACCTACTACGCCTCGCTGCGGGAGAGCCTCGAGCGGATGCACTCGGCGGTGGTGCCCAGCTACGCGGACGTCCAGCGGGAGATCCGCGCCCGGGAGCTGTACGGGTTCTTCTCCTCGTACGCCTTCCTCCCGATGGTCACCATGCGCAAGGAGGACTCCTTTGACATCAGCATCGAGGCGCTCACCGACCAGGACTTCGCTAAGAAGAAGGTCCAGCTGATGTTCTCCTCGAATCCCCGCACCACGGACACCCTGCGCTACGCCCTGCGCCGCTTCGACGACCTCGGGATCTTCGACTGAGGCAGTTTCCATAGTTCCACAGTTCCCACAGTTCCCAGTAGCTTCTATAGCTCCCATTAGCTCCTCGCTACTTAACAACGGCTTTTTTTTTTGTTTTTGTTCGTAATCAGTAATCAGTAATCAGTAATCAGTAGGGTTAGGCATATTCTATACGCTATACGTTATACATCTACTCATAAATAATAAAAGGTGGCCCAGTTGGGGCCCACATCCACTCCTCGCAGTTCGGCTTCCCCTAATCGGGCAGGGATCATCTGATGGGGACAACCCCGGAGCGACGGACCTCTAGAACTCCCAGGTGGAGAGCCACTTGAGGCTGTGCATCGTGGAGTTGGGCTCGTTGGCCAGCGGACCACTCATCCCGTAGGCCAGGGGCGAGAAGAGGGCGAAGCTGTAGACGAGGACCGAGAGCACCACTCCCAGGATGACGTGCTGGATCCACTTGGGCAGGTTGCGCACGATGTAGTTGAACATGACGCCTATGGGAATGCAAGTCAGTCTACTGATTCACCTCTAGGATGCACTCACCCGTGAGCAGGGAGTTGAAGATCAGGGCCGGGAAGTAGTGGTGGAAGTAGAGCACCCGGCCCATCGCCCAGAAGGGCAGGTAGTGGAGCACCCAGCCCACGAAGAGCCAGGCGGCCGCCCGCAGGGAGGTCTCCGGAGATTCGACCCACCGACCATCCGACCCACTCGACCCACTGGCAGGCGCCTCCTTGAGGAGCTCCTCCGGCGAGGGACAGCAGCTGCAGACGTCCGTGGTCGAGGGTTCGCTCTCCTCGCTCTGGGCCACCATTTGCGATTGGGAGTGGGATTGTGAGTGGGATTGGGAGTGGGCCAGGCCAGCCCGCCTCTGCTGCACCACCGCGTTGAAGAGGAAGACGGCGACGAAGAGGGCCAGGAAGAGCAGGTTGCTCCACCAAATGAGCGGGTTGCCCAGCAGGTAGATGCGGTAGGCGCTCCCGGAGAAGAACTGTCCCTGCAAAGAATAGTTGTAGTTCTGGTGCTGATCTGGAGGGGATTGGTTCGGACGCACCCTGTAGTTGATGGGCCACTGCCAGGGGCGACTGGTGACCTCGCCCTCCTTGGGCTTCAGTCCGGCGTTGCCCTGCAGCATCACGGCGTGCGACTCGAGGAAGCGGGCGAAGAATCCGGGCGCGTACACACTGAAGCTCACACTGGGCACTGTGGAGCACAGAGGAGAAGATGCATTAGGTGACCCCATCCAGCATCCCACAATAGATACTCACGTTGCTTGTGCTCGTTGTCCTCGATGTTCCACTGCGCGTTCTTGTCGCGCACGTTGAGGTTGCAGGAGACCTCCTGCTGCTCGAACCCCCACTTGGGCAGCTGCTTGCCGCTCGAGGTGAGGGCGCAGTTCTGCAGCAGGTGGATGAGCTTGAGGCGCGAGGTCACCGTGTGCACCGTCTGGTTGACCCGCCCGCCCACGATCATCACGCGCCAGGCGTCGTTGGCATCGCCCACGCCCATCTGCAAAGGAGCAGGAGGAGATTTAGGGATTACCATCCTGGTTACCATCCGGATTAGGGATAGTCACTTACCTCGCCGTAGCCAGTCACCTGGAGGTGCTTCTTGGTCATGGGCGCGGGCTCGTTGTGCGAATGCAGGTTGCGCCGGGTGGCCACGTGCTCCAGGCGGACGATGTCCCCGTGGCGGAGCACCTGCAGCTTGTCCTTCGGCAGGCGCTGCTTGTTGTGCGGCTTGATGAGCCACCGGTTGTTCTCGTCCTTGTGCGTGTAGGTGGTGATCTGCTGCTGGCGCGAGCCCGCCTCCTTGGGGTAGAGGTGGTGGTGCGAGTGCAAATAGCCGCCGCCCGTCTTGTGGTTCTTGATGGTCACCACCGAGCCGTAGGCCACGTCGCGCGGCATGCTGGCGTTGTAGAGCGAGTTCCCGATCAGTCGCGACTGGAAGGCGGAGCTGTAGAAGCCGTCGCCATTCCCGCTGCGGTTCAGCACGCTCAGGTGGACGTAGAAGAAGAGCACGTAGAGCAGCACGGGCCATGCGATGAGGGCCACCGCCCGGCAGGCCAGCTGCTTGGCGGTCTCCGCCACCGGCAGCCGCAGGTCGCCCAGGATGAGCCACAGCTCGGTGGCCGTGTGCAGCCCCACCAGCAGCACCACGAACAGGCCCACGAACTTCACGCTGATCGTGCAGGAGAGCATCGTGCCGGTGAGGAAGAGCCAGCCCCACCAGCGCCACCCGTACGATCCGCCCTCGGCCGTCGCCCGCGACACCTTCACCATGCCCCACACGGAGGCCATCATGAAGAAGAGCAGGATGGGGTCCAGCAGGATGTACTGGTTGAGGGTGAGCAAGCCCACATCTGTGCGGGGTGGAAAGTGTGGGTGGAATGTGCGTGAAATGTGGGTGGAATGTGGGTTACAATGGGTTAAGGGTTTCAGTGGATGTGCATCTGCATTTGTATCTGCATCTGCATCTGCTAAACTTGATTCGATTTGAAAGGCTTGTAATAGGATCCCCAAAGAAACTACTTCTATAATGTTCAGTTTGATTTGTTTACCAAGGAATTGCAGGAACGTTAACCTAAGCTTTCAACCCCATCCCAAACTGACTTACTTTTAAACTCTTCTAACCGAACCCCCAAAAAGTGGTGTAACCCATAACCATATTAGTCGGATTCTGACTAAATCATCAAGGGGTCAACCCTTCGGTTCACTCACCAAAAACGAGGTAAGCGGCTGCGAGCAAGGCGGCTTCGTGGGATCGGGTCAGATCGTAGACGGTGTCGAAGCCCATGGGCATGATCAGAGCGCCCAAAGTGGTGCAGAACTGGATGGATATAATAGGTAATTTCTAGAGTAGCGTACTTTCGTGCACCACTTACGTATCGCATTCCCTGGTAACGGGTCTCGTTGTACTTGTCGCCGGGCTTCTCGAACGGAAAGGTGCCATTGTAGCCCGTCAGGTAGCCGGAGAGTCCGATGAGCATCTGTGCAGGAGTTGTATTCAGATCAGTTGGGATTCTTTTTAGAAATTTCTGAAATTAAGCAGTGGAAGCACCCACCTTTCCCAGCGGAGGATGCACATCGAAGAAGAAGGTCCTGTTGATGTACCAGCTGCCCATCTTGCCGAAGTGCGTCTCGTCCCAACTGGAGGAGGAGTGGAATCGTTAGGTAAAAGGAAGCTCAGGAAGGTGGAGCCACTGGAAAGTGGGTCATTACCATATGTGATCCGGCTCGGTCACCTTGTAGAACCTCGTGGCGAAGGTCACCAGGAAGACGGTGGCCAGGAGGAGCCACCAGTTCCTGTTTACAGATTATATGGAGATCATATTAGCATTCCTCCGCTCGACTTCGCTGCACTCACCAGTTGGCCTCGTTGCTCGACTTGGGCCCTCCACTCGCCGTGGCTCTGGCCAGGTCTCTGGCGGATCCTCTTCTCGGACACTTGGGAGTCTTTACCACACTTGCTGCCATGATCTCAGGGGTTCCAGTTGTGGTTGGATTAAAATCTGGACATTTCCCAGCCTGCTGCACACGTCAACAAATACCAAATACCAAGAGCAGCCGCTGCAGAATGCTTTCTCTTTCGCCACTAGATCTTTCTTCTTCCCCCTTTCTCCTTTCCCCTTTCTTCTTTAACCTTTCTTCTTTCTTCTGTCTTGTTTGTCGGCCAAAACCGGTCTGCGACTTGGCTTTAACTGTGCTTCGCAAACAAATCTGGCCCAGCTGTTCTGGCGAGCCGTTCTTCCCGTTCCCGGGTTATCGATAAATGGCCGAGACGGCTTTGACTTCGCCTCCAAGCAACCAGTCTGTCTTCTTATTGGTAAGAGGCTTCCAATTGGTAAGAGACTGCGATTGAGACTGGCGGAACCCGTCGGAACTACGAACTTTCGAAGGCCACGCAAAAGTATGCAATGCTCAATGGCAATCACAAGTGTAAAATAAGTTGGTTAAGAAGCTAAATCTAATATCTAAGATGCCTCTGAAAAAAACAGTTTTATTTGTGTTCACAAGAAACTTAAACCATTTGATGGCAATCCACCAGTTGTGGCCCAAGTTGAGTGGTCCAATTGGTGACCCCATCCAGATGCACCTCACTCTCCATTCGTTTTGGGAGTGAGATGCATTTAGTGCGGGAAATTGCAGAGTTCTTAGCCGCATTTAGCACCCGCAAATAGCCAGTACTCTTATGGCACTTGTGGTTCCTTTGGTTGGATCTTGGCCAGCTTGCTCAACGCCTTCGTATCCTAGATATCTAGAACCCCAGGCCACTTTGTGTTCTCTTCACACGGACAAAAAATCTGAGGAGTTCTATGTGAACTTTATTTATTACAAAGGTGTGATACGAAGAGCTGATGAAGAACAGAACAACCTAAAGAACAGAACAACTGCGGTTCAGTTGGATCTCCTTGTGTGTTTGTTAACTCATTTTCTCTCCGTGCAGAATAAGTCAAGAAGAGCGGCGATGGGGATGACGATAAGCGTCAGGCTTGGCTTCGTATCGTATCGCCTCGCTTCTTGTTTCCCCGCTCTGGGCCAAGTCCATAACTCCACCAGTCAGTCCACCAGTCCACCTGTCCATCTGTCCATCCGTCCGGGAATTCGAGTCCGAGTCAGGCGGCATTAATCGTTTTGATCTTGGCGCACAAGAGTTAATTGCACGCTTGCTGCACAGTTGCTGTTGTTGTTGCTGTTGCTATTGTTGTTGTGGTTGTTGTTGTGGTTGTTGTTGCCGATGTTGCTGCTGTGTTGCCTGCAACGGCCGCCCGGCAATTTGCTGAATAGAAACGTAGCCGGCACGCGGTGTGGCAGTTTCAATCAAATTGATTGTGTCTAAAAAACTCGTGTTTCGTGCGATACGCAGGGAAAGTTACCTATTACAACAGTTGAAACTACCGAATAAATAAATAATAGTGCAAGTATTTAGCCATGTTTTCAGAGGGTTTCACCTGCTTTTCGAATAAAGTTTAACCCCTGGAAGAGCTGTTGTACTCTGATATCCAGAGGGTATCGAGCAGTCGCATACCGAGCACCCGAGATCGCAGGCCCTTCCTCGCAATGCCACAATGTGTGTGACACTCGCAGGGTGGCTGAAAGTGGAGTGGAGTGGGCCACAGGTGGAGGATTGGCTACAGCTGAGGCACAGGTGAGGTACAGGTGGTGCCGGCAAAACGCTGGCCATCAACGCTGCCCGTCCGTCATTAGGCATTTCCCTCTAATTGCCACCGCAGGAACTCAGCCTCTGTGTTGCAATTAAACGAAATCGCAGCAGCACTCTCGCATCATTAACCCACATGGATGGACAGTCGGATGGATGGATGGACGGGTGAACCCGGTCACTTCGTGGGAATCAGCTGGGCCGACAAGGTGGGAAAAAAGGTGACCCCGACCATCGAAAACAACACTTCACTCGCTTCGGTTTACTCGTAGTCTCGCTTTATTGATGGGCGATCTTAGCAGTAGGAAAAAAAACACTTTTGTATGTACAACCTAGCTTATCCTAGAGATCTACTTAGATCTACTTAGCCACTAATATATATACTAATATATTATATTATATATGCGCTGAAGGCGAACTCTAAAGCTATAACACATTTCAGTTTCTCCGCTTTCGGGCTTACGAACTAGGATCAGATCAGGGCTTGAAGCCTTCTCCCGGCGGGATGCGGGATATGGGATGCAGGATTAGTGATATGTACAGGGGGATCCCATTGAGTTCCCATGGAGATCCCTACACCCTCGACTGGTTCGGGCTGAAGACGGGCACGTTGTGGAAGCTGATGCCCGCGTAGAGCGGCGCTGCGATTCCCCCGCTCGGCAGCATCGACTTGCCGCTCGCGTAGAGCTGCTTCTTGGCCACCAGTCCCGCTCCCCCTCCCACTCCCACTCCCACCACCATCGTCTTACCGCCTTGGCGACCCATCAGAGGAGGGGAGGAGGCGGGGGAGCCCGCCGCTCCCAGGCGGCTCCTGTAGCTCTCGCAGGTCTTGCGCGACCACACCCACAACCCAGTGAGGGTGCCGCCCACCAGCTGGAAGGAGATCCGCGCGAGGGCCGGCCAGGCGCTGAGCGGGGCGGGCGGTAGGCAGTCCTCGGGGGCGGAGCAGCTGGGCACCGAGTCCGCGTACCGCTCGCAGAGGGCGGCCACCACGCCGGCGGCGGTCGGGGCGAAGTAGAGCAGCGAGAAGAGGACGAACCGCCGCCGGATCTGCCCGAAGCGGTGCACCGAGCAGCGGGGCGCCAAGGCGGGCTGGAGCTGGCGCTGCAGGAGGAGCAGCGAGCGGGAGGCGCGCAGCGTGAAGTACAGTCCCAGCAGGAGGAGCACCAGGGCGGGCAGCTCCACGAACCCGGGGGCGTGGCACATCCCGGTCAGCTCGCTGGGGCGGACGCGCTCGAGCAGCAGGGCGGCGATGGGCGGGGCCAGCGGGGGGCACCCAGGCGAGCACGTGGAAGAGCCCCGAGCGCTTCTCCAGCGCCTCGCTGGACCACTTCTTGTGCGAGGAGAGGTAGAAGCAGAGCGCGAAGATCAGCCACCAGCTGGCGGCGCAGAGGCTCAGATAGGAGGTACTGATGTAGGAGGCCAAGCAGGGCGGGCTCAGCGGGCAGGCCTCGGAGTGGACCCGCACCATCCTTCCTCCCATCGTCGGAATGGCAGGTAGCTCCTGCTGGCTCCCCTTCAAGTGTCCAAGTCCGATTCCATGCCCGTTTCCCTGTCCGTAGCTGTGGTTGTGGAACACGATCCGCTCCAGGTAGCACACGCTGAAGAGGCTGTAGCAGAGGCACAGGAAGAGCACCGGCCGCTCCGGGTAGCCGAAGCGGGTGGGCTCCGCCCAGAAGGTGACCAGCGCGAAGAGGGTCAGCACGAAGCACACCGCCGAGAGGCCGAGCACCAGGCTCTCCGAGAGCTTCTTCTGGGCGGCGGTGTGGAAGGCGTCCCGCTGGCACTGCGGCACGCACTCCTCCGCCCCGAAGGGGCTGCCGCTGAAGTTCTGCGGGCAGAGCACTGCCGCTCTCAGTCCCGCTCCCAATCCCGCTCCCAGTCCCGCTCCAGATCCAGGGGGCGGTGGCGCCCCGCTCTTCCAGAAGCGGTACATCTGCGGTGGCGGCTGGAGCGGCCCCTCCGGGAGCGGCACCGCCTGCTGCTCCCCGCCCGGCGGACTGGTGGGACTGGTGGGCGGGGCCTCGGGGGCGGGCGCCTCCTGCGGGATCTGCATGCAGAGCTCGTGCTTCTCCGGCTGCGGCAGGACGGCGCAGTTGAGGAACGGCGGCCAGAGCTCCATCAGCTCCGGCGGCGCCCGCTCCCCGCACTCGCCCCGCACCGTCTCGCAGAGCGACTTGCAGGCGCTGACGGGGCGTGGCACGTCCGGCGTGCAGAGCGGGAAGAGCGCCGAGCAGAGGAGGAAGCGGGCGCGCGGCGAGCATCCCGACTCGATGAGGGGCACCAGCTTGGCGATCTGCAAGGAGAGGCGAGAAAAGGAGAATCAGGGGTGAGTGAAATGTGTATCGAAATTATCGAATCGGTCTATCGGGGGGATTTCTTATCGGTTGGATAGCTGCTAATTCGGTGTATCTGCGAAGTAATTTATATCTTTTCGAACAGCAGAGCCTTCTATCTCAATTAACGACATTTAATTGCGCGGCTGGCTTCTGTGGAAAGGGAACTTGAAAGAGCGCCGCCGAATAATTAGATCGAAATTCGCTGTTCGATAAACAGGGCAACAAAAACAATAGCAGCAACAACAACTAAGGGAGAAACACTCTTCCAAAACCATTCGCATTCCGGTTCGTTCACACTTTCGCAGTCCGCAGTCCGCCGTCTATACTTTTATCTAATAAAATTGCAATAAAAGCCCGGGCTCGCTTTGTTGTTCCGCCGACACGCCGGCAGCACCGAAAAGCTAATTTAACAAATGTTTGCCATTTGCAACAATTGAGCGGTTTGCACAATTGCAGTTTGTTTACACCGGCTAATGCCTGGCATTAAATTAGCTGAAATTGCGAAACGAGATCGTGTAATGCTAATGCCGATGATGGTTTCCAGCTGGTGGGGCTCCGGGTTTCGAAAGTCTTTTCTGCGGCAGTGGCTTCTATATATCTTATATAATATTTGGACTATTTGGGTTTGGGGATGAGTGCTCAGCTTTGAAAGTAAGGCTATATTGTATCTTTTGTTTGCCACTGACTCCGGAGTCCCTCCCTGTTTACTTTCCATTAGCAATCTCACACGTTGTGTGTGCGCTTGGTGTGAAAACTTGCGTCGGACTTCACACATGAAAAACCGCCGCCAGTTTCCCGGCTGCGAGCTCATTCCATTTCCACAGTCCGCAGTCCACAGTCAGTTGTCGATGGCAATTAATTGTCAATTACCAGCCAAGCAATCTAATAACTTCAAACGAAGCCACATTTCTCATCTCGGCGCGACTTCAGCTGATGCGAAATGAATACAGTCGGAGGTACACAGGAAACAATTGAGCTAACATTCCGAACATTAAGGGAAACTTCGAGTGGTACTACGAGTCTATAATATTCCACATTCAAAAGCAGATTTTTATAATATTCTACTTCTTCATTTCGCCTCTGGCTTTTTATTCTTCGCCTGTACTCCGTCCATTGTCCATCCTACGAGAAATGCCGACATTGATGACGATGACGAACCAGACGCATCAACATTTATGAGTTTGTGGAATTTTAGACAAGTCAGAAGTCAGCGCGGCAGGAACGGGCCAGGACCCCGAGATGTGGCAGCGTTTTGGGGCAGACGGAAGGCGAAAAACGAAGACAGGAAACCTGGGGAGCAGGCCTGGGCTGCATCGAATTATCGGGAATGGGAATTGTTTTCTCGGGAAAGAGACCCTGTCGCATCGCCTTTTGATAGTCGATGTCGATGAGCCGATCTCCGGGGGCTCTTGACATGGATTTGATGGCCGGCTGGCCGGACTCTTTGTTTGCTGGCTAACAGTAACCATATTGTTGTTGTATAATTAAGCCACATTAGGCCAAAAAACGAAGAATGGAATGGAGAGGAGGGAAAGAGGGGAAAAGAGGTAAAGAGGAAAAGAAGGCCGGCACCCAGAAGAACCGGGGGGCATCTCGAATGGAGCATTAGACACGCGATTTCCAATTTTTTTTCGGCTTTTGCAGCTCTCTGGAAAATAGCTGCCAGCAATAATAATTTAATGATGCAGTCGGCATCGAGCAAGTGAACCGCATCATCGTCTTGGTCGTAATCATCGACTTGGCCGAAAGCCAGGCGAGTCGGCGCAACAACGACGACGAAACGGAAAGGCAATCAGCCTAATAGACCTGCTCTGGCCCACGAGTGGGAGGGAGAGGGAAGAGGGGGAGTGAGGGAGATGGCGAGTGAGAAGCGGGGGAACAGTGGTTCGCAGTCGCGGGAAATCTGCATTTCTGTCTCTTCAACCATATTTAATCGATTAATTAAGTAAGAGTATTTAATCAATTAGTTAAATAAGAGTATTTAATAGATTAATTAAATACGAGTATTTAATCGATTAATGAAATATGAATATTTTATCGATTAATTACTGCTTTTACATGTAGGATTTCCCTGACAACAAGTTATCTGTTAATTTTGCCACCCTAACGTATACGTGATATTCGAACTTCCGCCCAGTGTGTCCCGGTGTTTGGTGCTCGGGCCACGAGCAGAGCCGGCCAAGTGTCTAAAATGTGTTATTAATGCAAAAAGGCATTGCCTGCTCATCGTCATCATCGTGGTGATCATCATGGTCACCATGGCAATCATGGTAATCATCATCCCCTGGATGACCATCAACTCTTCGGTCTGCGCAGCGAATGCAATCTGCAACGCTTTGAGCATTTTTTTCGTGTTTCCCCCGAAGTTGTCGGCTGTTTGGTTTTGTTGTATTTTTTTTTTTTTTTTTTGTGTTGTTTTTTTTTTCGGCCACGCAAAAGCCAACGAAAAGTTGGCTGGCAATTCGCCGCGGCTCGCTGCGCTGTCCGTCCACCCGACCAAAGGCGACAGATTCGTTTTGGTCGCGCCACGAAATTATGGTTATTACCGCAGTCGGCGAAGTCGGCGAAATGAAAGGCGTTAGATGAAGTTTGTGTTTGCGTTTGCGTTAGCGGTAGTGCAATCGCTTTCGAGCTCTGTGTCTTAACACTGGTCATTCGGGTTTTGGGCCCGCTTCATTGTTTGAAGGAGATTCCCAGATACTCTCGACCGTGTCTTCCTCATCTTCGCCGGCTGCACAGCCAGTGGTTAATACAATGAATTCGGATTCAGATTCGGATTCGGATTCGGGCTCTGGTGGGATTTTGAAAAATCATGGAACCAACTTTTGTGTCTCCGCCTCGATAGGAACCACCACACAAAAAAAAAGCGAAAAAAATAAAAAGAGTTCTGCTTAATTTACTTAAGAAACTCAAAAACCGAGTGTTCATAGCCCTTCCTTTTCAGTTTCGTTTCGGTTTTGGGTTTTCCTCTTCCTCTTCGCCTTCTCCCCCTCTTATTCCCCTTCCCCTTCTCCTCCTCCTTCTTCTTCTTCTTCTTCTTCTTCTTATTCATCTTGCCTTTTGACTTGCGGCTATTTCCTTTAATTTCGGTTTTAGTTATCTCTTTCTCGGCTTCTTTCGCCGCGTGTTTCACACTTTTTTGGGTGAAGTCCGCCCGTCCGAAAAGCATTTAATTTTGTTTCGCCTTCTCCCTTCCCCCTCTCCACTCTCTTCCCCCTCCCCTCTCTTTCTGGCTGGCTCACAATTCAATTACAAGGCAAAGAACAGCAACAACAATGACAGGGTTGACACCTCGCAACCTAAACGCGACCTAATGACTTATCGATTTTGATTAATGATTGCGGGCCAGCAAATAAAGTCAATGGTGGGTCCAGAGGCCGAGCGATCGGAAAAGGAGAATAGAACTGCTCGGCGGCACTTTGACTCTGAATACGTTCCGTTTTCGAAAGGAATTGCCAGAAGAAAAGGTACACTGAAAGAAATCACAGTACCTAACCTCAGTTTGGAACTTCAACCTGAACCTGAAGCTAGTCAAGCGAAGGGCACTCCACTTATCTATAATGCCCAATGTCCCAACCCATTTCTATTTCTATTCCCAATCTCAATCTCAATCCGACTTGCACTCCAATCCCGATACGACCAATCCCGATTCCCCCGATCTTAAGAGACACTTAATGCGATCGGACATCTGCATAATCTACGTAATGGATTAATTTATAATTTTCCACGCTCGCAGCGCCGAAGATCGGAGCGAAGGGGAACCCAACCGATTTATATATATGCGGTATATAGGCTGCACTGTGTTTTTCTGGGAGGAGCCCACAAATTGGGAGTCCGAGACTTCGAGTGGGATACGAAAAAGAGCGACTCCGCAATGGGTGCAATGCAAGTATAGGTATCAGTGTGTGCAATTTGTTGGCGGGCTTGGTTTCCAGTTAATGGGATTTGCTTATAATTACAATCATTAGGAGATCCCATGGGGGAAGAGGTAGCCAAGGCAGTCGTGGCATCACAGCTCCGTGTAATAATAAACGAGAGCTGCGAGCGTTGTCAAAGGCAAAGCCAATTATCTGTGCAGAGTGGGTAAACAGTAAACAGTGTCTTCGGAGTGAATAGAGAGCTCTCCGTGGATGCCACATGGATGGCTTATCCCACAACTCCGACAGAAGTCTCCTTTCATCGGCCGCCATCACCTTGGGACTCCCGTGACTGTGCGATATCCGTATCTGTGCGATGTATCTGCGAGATGTATCTGCGAGATGCATCTGCGAGATGGCCTGCTCTTGGATTCGGCGGCTGTCGGTGCGACAAGTGTTGCGAAACGCCAGCTGGAGGGACAGTGAGCCCTCCTCCCGACGCACCACTTGCCGCTCAAAGTAAAGTTTTCAGTTGACAGCCGTTGTACCGCATCCCAAAGATACGTAGCTACGCTTTCTAAGTGGGTTTGGATCCTGTGCTTAACACGTGTCTATCTATTGTATCTAGTATATACTGTACTTAGGGTGGAGATCTTTCCAAATTGGCTTGAGGTTGGAAGGTGGCTTTCAGCGAGGGTGTGCCCAGTTCGGTGCCCCATGCACTGTGCCACTCTATTTGATTTGCGCTCCGAGTGACTTAGTTTGGCTTTTTCGGACTTGAGTGCTCTCTGATGCGAACTGACAGCTGCTGGCCAGCTGAGGGGGAAGGGGGAGCGGTCTTGGAGCGACTCGAAGCCAGACTTGATGGCGGCACGACTTCAAAGTCAATTGATTTCATTTGCTATGAAAGCGCTTGCAATTAGCGAGCGGGGATCACAGCTGCCGCTGAATGTTTGCGGTGGAGTATTTGCCACACAGTGAGAAAACAGGGGTTCTAGGGAATTACTCCGCACAATCTCTCTATCAATCTTAATCGCATTTGAGTACTACTTTCTCAGTGTGTAGAAGGTAAACTCGGATACACGTTTATATTTCGGCAG